CATCCTAGTAAAAATAGCTTCCGTGAGACAGCCTCTGCATCAAATTTTGATAAGTTGTGCGCGCAAATCCGCACAGTGTTCCTAATACGGATTCAGGCTACACCCTCCAAGGATGAGACTAATCCCTAGGGCCACAATCCCACAGATGATACCTTTCGGGGAGCTGTCACAACAAACGCGCTCTGTGGGATCTGCTCCTGCTGCTTGCTATGCAAGCGACCGATGGCCGTGAGCGATCGCCTTGACCACCTAACACCACCACGATGACGCATTTTGTTCACCTACTCTTTTACCGAGATGTCTAAATTTGGTGATCACATCAATAAAGCATTTGATAGGAAGACACTACTGCCACCTAAAAAAAGCAATCGTCAACTATCGATGGAGCGATATCGCTACGTCCCAGACAAGTCATAAAATGGAATTCGGGATCGAGGCAGTCGATCCTTTTCCCCTTAGAAACAAAATGGGTGACTCCTGGTCACGCAAGACTGCGATATTGCTTGCCTCAAAGAGCACTTAGAGGTATGATAAAAAAATTAATAAGATAGCAAGAAATGCATACTCAAATAATACATAAGAACATGTTCAGGCTATAAAGAGGTAGGCAAAAAAGCCTAGAGATCAGTAAAAGTGCCTCACTCGAATGACGGTGAAATCTCCCTGATGTCGTACGATGGTTGCCGCCGTACCCGCTTTGATAATGAACACATCACTGTCCAAGTTTTCGATCAATGTCGGAAACCGTTCAACGCTGAAAAGGACTACGTAGGAAATTAGCCCTAGTTTTGAATCCTGAGAAAGAGCCAGTGATTAGCAATACGAGAGGAAAGGATGGTGATAGAAAAGTGCGTGGCCTAGGTGAATGTTGGCGAAAAGCTCATTTGAGCTAGCAAATATACAATGAGGGTGTGGGTACTTAGGACAGAACGCGACTTTTTCGCTCTTCGCAACGCGACATCGCGCGGCAGGCTGGCGCACCCGCAGCGAAAACAACTACGGTATGAAGAACGCGCGATTGGAGCAGCTTTTTTGCATGCGTGAATTTGTAAGTTTCTGATTCCTTACTTGCCCGCGCTCACACCCATTGTATTGATAAATGCGGTGAATCACTAATTCTGTCTCATTATTGAAAACGTTTTGTGACTTACACGATTCCGGGCGATGCCACACAAATGGTGTTTTACGAATTATCGG